AACCAGAGCATGTACCCCTCTGGCCAGACAGTCCGTGGGCAGGGAGGGTCTCTTATTTGTGGAGTGCCAAATAATAAGGTTCCATTTCCAGGATTTTGTATACCTGGCATTTCAAGACTTTGGCTGGTGACTACTAGCTAATGAACATATCCAAGTGGCTTGGGCAGTGAGTGGGTGGAACTCTGGCAGAAGAGCAGGACAGGGTGCCGGCAGGAACAGGCTACCAACAATGTTGCTCCCACAACCTGGGACTGGGCTGGCTGGCCTTTATCTCCTCTGAGGCCTAGGGCGGCCCCAGTCCACAGGTGACTCGCCTCTCCTGGCCTGGAGGCGAGCACTCCTCTTGCGGGAACTTAGTTCCCTCCGGCTCTCTGCCCTGAGCCTCTGCAGCTCAGGAGAGGCTGGAGGGTTACCGGACCCAGAGGCAACCTCAGCTTCCCCTGATGGGGCTGAGAGTGGAGCACCTGCAGGCAATGGGTCCTCCATCACCTCAGGAGCCAGAGCAGATTCAGCTGGTGCCTGCACCTGAGGATCCAGCACAGGTGAGGACCCTTCAGGCTCAGGCCCCAGCCCCGGTTCAGCTGGTCCTCTGAATCCAATTCCCAGGCCATCACACCTATGCACACTTAATCAGAAATCTCACTGAACTCAGTAGGACTTTTTGCTAAGTCAAACTGTGTATAGGCTGCAGTCCTAAGCCCCCTTGCTAGAGACTTTGTCCCACTGAACTTAGCTTACTTCTGAAGAAACATCCTTGACTGACAGAAAAGGTGAAAAATGTTGCTGGTTATTTTATTTGTACAATCTTACTGATATGCAGTTATAATGTATGTGATGTGTTCTGACGTATTCCTGATACTAGAAACAAATAATCTGAACTACAGTTCCTGCTGGTGTGAATGGAAGAGTTATTTACTTAATCACCACTCTTCTTATTTTCTTCCTTGATTCAGTCAGGCACTCGCTCACTGGGTGATTCATTCAAGCCAACACTTCCAAGGAAGCAATTGTGAAAGTGCAACCTTTGATTGTGTCACTAACTCTGCTAACTCAGAAGGGGGAAGCTCTGTCAAGAAAGGAAAATCCCTTAGAAACTGTCACACACACAAATAGGTTTTAAGAAAAGGGTGTAAAAAAGTTGTTTGCTAAATAACGAGATAGAGAAAAAACATAAAGTTGGTGTGGGTTTTTTTTAGTTAAAAAAAGGCTTCAGTGCAATATATCACTTTCACACAAATAACTACCATATTTTTTGCTCTATAAGACACACTTTCCCCCTCCTAAAAAGTAAGGGGAAATCTGTGTGCGTCTTATGGAGCGAATGCAGGCGGGAGGCTCTGCTCAGCGCTCCCTTTAAAGAGCTGTGTGGAACGTGTGTGTGGTTCTTGGGGGCTTTTCCCCGAGGAGGGAGAAGGGCTGCCTTAGCTGCACGCAGCCTCTCCTTAGCCACGCGCGCACAGGGGAGGGGGAGCCTTAGCTGTGTGCAGCCTCTCCCGGGCAGGGGTTGAAGGCTCCCCCTGCCCGGGAGAGGCTGCGTGCGGCTATCCCATAAGCCAGGACAGCAAGCGGGATCGCTGAGCTGTGATCCCGCTTGCTGTCCTGGCTTCTGGGATTCAGAATATTTTTTTTTCTTGTTTTCCTCTTCCCAAAACTAGGTGCATCTTATGGTCTGGTGCGTCTTATAGAGCAAAAAATATGGCAATTAATGGTAATAATAATGTATTAATGGCAATGATTTTAACCAGTTTGTGCAACTGCAGGTTGAATTGTGCACCTGAGAGTCATGGACTCTGATAGGAGTCATGTAAGAGTAAGAGAAACTGTTATTAAGTGAAAATACAGACATTTCTTTACTTTCAGGCTATCGTGTATGGTTCAAATCACTGATGCTGGTATATAAGGCTGGGCCTGAGCCAGGACAACAGGCACTGTCCAGGAGTGCCAAAAAGTCCCAGACAGAGATATGCCTTATATAAGGTGGTTTGGCAGTGTTCACTAGCATTGTAAATGTGCTGTAGTGCTGAACAAGACTTGAATAAATTCCCATGTAAAGGTGTGCTAACTGTCTCTCTCATGCTCTGCTTCTGCACCTAAGTGTTAATCAGAAGAAAATGGGAATGTGTGAGGTTCTAGAATACACTTCTCAATGTCATTCTGCACCAAATGTAATATACTGTAAATTGGCTGCAGAATGTCATGTTTGGGTTCTGCTTCATGGCAGCAATTTAGCAACACTTATTTGTGAGTAAGCCCCACTGAATTTCCAAGTAAAAATGGAACAGGGGTAAAACTGCACATGCAGCAAAGTGTTAAGGTAAAGGTAAAGGTACCCCTGCCCGTACGGGCCAGTCTTGACAGACTCTAGGGTTGTGCGCCCATCTCACTTAAGAGGCCGGGGGCCAGCGCTGTCCGGAGACACTTCCGGGTCACGTGGCCAGCATGACGAAGCTGCATCTGGCGAGCCAGCGCAGCACACGGAAACGCCGTTTACCTTCCCGCCAGTAAGCAGTCCCTATTTATCTATTTGCACCCGGGGGTGCTTTTGAACTGCTAGGTTGGCAGGCGCTGGGACCGAGCAGCGGGAGCATAATTTCAAGTGGAACAGCAGGATCAGTGTGGTGGGGGCTTAAGCCTTCCTTCCCCACTGCTTTCCACTCTGCAATCCATATTGGGAAACCCAGCCAGATGGGTGGGGTATGAATGAATGAATAAAATTTTATCTAGACCATGTGGGCTTATTTCTGGTTTTGAGTGCAATGGGGAGAAAAGGGGCCTGGGGGGGTGGTTGCAGCAGATGCATAAAGTGTTTGGCATCTCCCCACCCCCCAACCCGCTATGCATCAACCACTATGTTATGTAGTTTCATCCTGGCTCACATTGAGTTCATTTGGACTTCTGTATACACTGTTAAGGCTCCCTGATAGATACCATATTTTTTGCACCATAACACTCACTTTTTTCCTCCTAGAAAGTAAGGGGAAATGTCTGTGCGTGTTATGGAGCAATGCCTACGGGTGGCGGGGGGGGGATCTGCTGCAGTCGTGAGCAGAGGATCCATGGTTCCCCTTCCTTCCCTACTCCGTGGCTTGCTTTGAAACAGCAAAGTGGGAGAAGAGCCGCTGAGTGGGGAGGAGAGAGGGACAGAGAGCCTGCTTGCTTTAAAGGAGCAAAGCGGGAGAGGAGAGGAGCCGCTTACACGAGTCCAGAGCTGTTTTTTTCAGCAAGCCGGGGAGGAGGGAGAGAAGCAGAGCCTTTAAAGGAGCAAAGCGGGAGAGGAGAGGAGCCTTCTCCTCTTATACCCCTCTTCTGCATTATTAACAGCATCCTTCTCCACCCACCCCACGCGTGTCCCTTGTCCCTTGAGTGCTTTTCCTTCCCTCACCACTTAAAACGTGGTTACAAAGCACGGATCCACATGGATCCTCAGGATTTTTGCACTGGGTCACCCCAAATTCACCATCAGATCACATAGCATATCCATGGCTACAGCTTGCACCAAAAAAACACGCACCCACTGTTGCCTGGGGCCGCAGTGGTGCAAAAACGTGGTTACAAAGCATGGATCCACATGGATCCTCAGGATTTTTGCATTGGGCTACCCCAAACTCACCGTCAGATCACATGTCTGTGGACACAGCATGAACCACAAAGATCATACATCCACTGTTTCGTTTAGAATTTTTCTCTCTCTTGTTTTCCTCCTCTAAAAACTATGTGCGTGTTATGGTCGGGTGCGTGTTATAGAGCGAAAAATACGGTATATTTATTTTACCCTCGCTCTGTAGCTCGAAAATGCTCCTAGAGCAGCTTTCAAATAATCAGACTGGTATAGATGTATGACACATAAGGGATTGAGAGAGAGGAAGGGATAGACTACAAGGCTTTCCATGCTGCTAGTCAATTTGATTAATATTCCCTCTGAATACCAGTTGTTGGATTTCATGAGCAGAAGACTGTTACTGCTCTCATGCTCTGCATGTTGGCTTCCTGTGGATATTGCCTGGCCGCTGTGGGAACAGAACGCTCCTTGGTCCGATCCACACAGCCTCTAGCTCTTCTTGATAGACTCCTGTAATAACCAGCTGGAATGGAAAGAGTTCAAGGAGAGGAGGAGCCACAGCTTCCTGGCCTCTCACCTGAGCTGATGTCAAGGCTCTGCAGTCCCACCTGGCAGAATGGCTGCCTCTACTGTAGGTGAGGCAGGAACCTGGTGAATGGAGCTCAAATGTGCTTAACCTTTTTTGATTTTGTTCTTCATAAATGAAAACTTAAGCATCACTTATGAGGGAAGTGAAAACTACAGTTAGAAGCTAAGGCTATTGTACTCGAATTGGCAGTGGTCTAAGTTTGTCCATATTCTTTTCCTGAGTGGTGTCCTGTGGTCTCCTTCGGGCAGGGGGTCTCCTGAGCTTGAGGTTTTGCAGTATTGCATGAAGGACCCTTGATCCTGTAGGCAGAGTTGCACAGCCACATTCGTCCCAACCATATTCCATTTGCAATCACAACAGATTCATACAATGCCTTGTATGGGAGACCAGTGGAACATCTCAGGTGTGTACTGCACTGGCGCAACATGAAAACTCATATTGCTGCACTGCTTTGAGAGCCTTTGTACAGTGGTACCTCAGGTTACAGACGCTTCAGGTTACAGACTCCGCTAACCCAGAAATATTACCTCGGGTTAAGAACTTTGCTTCAGGATGAGAACAGAAGTAGTGTGGCGGCGGCGTGACAGCAGCGGGAGGCCCCATTAGCTAAAGTGGTGTCTCAGGTTAAGAACAGTTTCAGGTTAAGAACGGACCTCCGGAACGAATTAAGTACATAACCAGAGGTACCACTGTATTTGGTCCCATCCATTTAAAGAAAAGAAAAAAGGCATAAAGAAAAAAGGGTATGAAAGTTGTTGTTTTTTAAATAGTAATTGCCATTTATTTCCATTGCAATATAGTACCTCCCAAGAGAAAACAAATCTGAAATGCATATTTTATTTTATTTTTCAGTGGTGCATTTTCTGAAGTAGTTTTGGCTGAAAACAGGACTACTGGAAAACTATTTGCAGTCAAGTGCATCCCAAAGAAAGCCCTGAAAGGGAAGGAAAGCAGCATTGAGAATGAAATTGCAGTTCTGAGAAAGTAAGTATGAAACGTGTTCTTCCATTATGGTTGCCAGAACAGACATCTGGGATTGTCCTCTGGGCTACTTTATTGGGATCAAGACGGGGCAGCATGCCAGGACTCAGTTCAGATTTGCAATTGATTCAGAATAAACTGAGCTGTTTTCCAACTTATTTATTTTTTGGGAAAATAGCTTGTTTTGCTGAGCCCAGTTTCAAGTCAAAGTGGGTCACCATGGCTTGTCCACCACTAGTTCAGATCATGTAATTTGCAGTTTTCCAACAATGCCTAAATAAAACCCAGTCAGATGGGCAGGGTATAAAGAATAAAATTATTATTGTTGTTGTTTTATTATGTGAAGCCATGGCATAAAGGTAAAGGTAAAGGGACCCCTGACCATTAGGTTCAGTTGTGACTGACTTTGGGGTTGCAGTGCTCATCTTGCTTTCTTGGCCGAGGGAGCCGGCGTACAGCTTCTGGGTCATGTGGCCAGCAGGACTAAGCCGCTTCTGGCGAACCAGAGCAGCGCACGGAAACGCCGTTTACCTTCCCACCAGAGTGGGACTTTGCACTTTGACGTGCTTTCGAACTGCTAGGTTGGCCGGAGCTGGGACCCAGCAACGGGAGCTCACCCCGTCGTGGGAATTCGAACTGCCGACCTTCTGATTCACAAGCCCTAGGCTCTGTGGTTTAAGCCACAGTGCCACCCGCGTCCCGTGACGCATGTGTGTGTGTAAAAGCCACCATTGTGAATTACCAAATGTATTTAGTTTCTTTTTTGCACTCACAGCAAGATTATGTCTTAGCCTGCTTGAACAATAAATATACATTTTGGAATATAATATAAAGGATCATATGTGCCTAAGAATGAATAATGCCAACACCTGTGCAAAGTGCCATAATGGTGAAGCTCCACTGAAATGTAGGGTTTTTTTGTCATGTTCTTAAGGGCCCTTTGGCCAATGGCTGCAAAGATCTTCAGCTTTATAACAATTTCTTGAACTTCTTTTCCCAAAGTGTGACTCGGTAGAGGAGTACATAGAGATGTGATAGAGGACCAGGCAACGTCCTCCATCACCTCCTCAGACTAGCCCTCTCCTAAAATTAGTTGTTGAGTGCACCAGCATTTATTGCTGCCCTATTATTTCCTCCCCCCCCCACTCCTTCTGCAGTGTTTTCCTACAGCTAAGAGCTAGACATACAGGTGCCAGGCCTGTCTGCACAGCAGAAGCAATTTTCAACACGTGTTGCTAAATTTATACACATAGGGATGTAGGTATCTTCCTGCTTTCGTAGGATGGCACATTGCCTACAATGTTCAGCTACGCTGGCAGGCTGACTCCTGCCTGGACAATGTGAATGATTAGATTTTTATTATTCTAGGAGTATGTGACTGCATACAGTGCTGAATGCTGGCAGGCATTTGTAACATACATTTCGCTGAGCCTCGAGTCTCTAATTTCAGATCAGAATCTGTGCTATTGTAATTTAAGTAGGTCGGTTACTTAAATGGAAAATATGAGATGCTATGCCCTACAATGGAGATGGGGAGAAAAACTTTGAAGCAGCCGATCTGTATCTAGGGCTGCATGCATGCATGCTCTGGTTGCATGCCTCATCTGTGAGCAAGAGCGCTACATAATTTGCAGTGTAGCTTGAGTCAGTGGTAAGATGTTGAGTGTGCAGCCGCTCCATGTGTTCTGTGCTACAGATATGTGCTGGTGCAGTCAGAGCATCAGTCGATGGCATTCTCTAAGGGCTTGTCCACACCTACCTTTCGCACTCTGCTTTCCAGGAACAGGTCTGTGCTTTAAAGCGCTCTTTTTTCCGTCCTGGAGGTTTCCTCGTGAAAACCTGCTCTTTAAAGCTGAAGTAAAACAGATGGCAACTGGGGTTTCCATTTGCTCCGATTCTGGGAATGTGATGGTAGATCTAGGCTATTGTCTTTTTGTATTGTTTTCCAGTTGTTTTCTGTGGTGTTTTTAATTTGCATGCATTAATTTGTTGTAAGATGCCTTAGCTCAATATATTGGATCCACAAGGTATTTCTGTTATTAATTTTAAGTCTTTGTGTATTTTTAATTCTTAATAGAGTTGGACAGCCCCCCACCCTGTATCACTTTTCTGAATCTTATTACACCATAAATAATCCAGTTTCACCTGTTTCCACAGAGAAACTGAAGTGAATCTGTTGAAATTAAAAGGGACATTCATCAGATAAAGTAATAGAAAGCCGCTTCAGGCTCTTTTAGTCCAATATGAAACTAGACAGGAGTAATAAATAAACCATGTTTAAGACAACAGAGATATACATGATACTTAATATTGTGGAGACCTGAGAAGTGTGTATGCAAATACTAAACGCTCAAATAGGAAGGAAGCAGCTGGAGCCCACTATGCCTGTCAGTCACAAGGCTTTGTGCAATGCCTTGCTATACTGATCTTTTCTCCTATTAACTTAACAATGAATAGGGTCATTTACTTCCCAACTTAATGTGGGTTACTGAAAATATAAATCAATTATTGTAATGTGTATGTGTTTGTTTAAATATTATCACAAGCAAGATCCAAGGGTTCAAATCCATACTTCTGTTTATTTTGGGAGAGGGATTGTGTGTACCTGATAATATATAATAATAATAATAATAATAATAATAATAATAATAATAATAATTTTATTTATACCCCACCCATCTGGCTGGGTTTCCCCAGCCGCTCTGGGCGGCTTTCAACAGAACATTAAAATCAAATCAAATAAGAATCCCCATGCATAATAACTGTGCACGGGTAAGGCTTCTTCGTGTGATTGGGAGTCCTTATCACAGTGAACCCTGTGTACCTGGGATGGAGAATCTGTGGTCTCCTGTTCCCTCAGCCCCAGCCCACTAGAGTCAATGGTCAGGGATGATCTGGAGGGCCACAGGTTCCCTGCCCCTATTACAGTGGTGCCTCGCAAGACGATATTAATTTGTTCCGCGAGTTTTTTCGCCTTGCGATTTTTTTCGTCTTGTGAAGCATGGTTTCGGAAAAGTTTTGGAAAAGCTTCAAAAATCACCAAAGTCTTCAAAAACCTCAAAAAAGGCTACCACACCGCGTGCTATGCATTGCTCCTCGAAGTCAAGTCGCAACTGTATTAACAGTTTTAAGAAAAAGGAAACAAACTTGCAAGATGTTTCCATCTTGCGAAGCAAGCCCATAGGGAAAATCGTCTTGCGAAGCAACTCAAAAAACCAAAAACCCTTTCGTCTTGCGAGTTTTCCGTCTTGCGAGGCATTCGTCTTGCGAGGTACCACTGTATATGTTTGCCTCCCTTGCCAAGAATGCACAAGCAAGCCCAGCAGACTCTGCCCACTCCTAGGTGTTCCCACTTGCTTGTCCAGTCCTGTGGCTTAGGAAGGTAAAAGGTAAAGGTAAAGGACCCCTGGACGGTTAAGTCCACTCAAAGGCGACTATGGGGTTGTGGCGCTCATCTCGCTTTCAGGCCGAGGGAGCCGGCATTTGTCCACAGACAGCTTTCCGAGTCATGTGGCCAGCATGTCTAAACCGCTTCTGGCGCACAGACAATTGCCAGAGCACACAGAAATGCTGTTTACCTTCCTGCCACAGCAGTATCTATTTATCTACTTGCACTGGCATGCTTTCAAACTGGTTGGCAGGAGCTGGGACAGAGCAGTGGGAGCTCACCCCATCGCAGGGATTCGAACTGCCAACCTTCCGACCAGCAAGCCCAAGAGGCTCAGTGGTTTAGACCACAGCGCCATCCGCTTAGGAAGACCATCATACAAATGACTGTGCCTGCCCTGCTCTTTGAAAAGGAAGCTTGGGGACATGTCAAGTATTGGGACAATGGTTTAGCTTCTGCCTAGCCATGTATTCTAGAGCTCTGCTGTGATTTCTGAATGGTGTAACCTGATCTGTGTTGGGGTGCTGTGGTGATTTTTGCAATAAAGCCTTTAATAATAATTGAGCTGAAAGTTTCAGTACAAGTGGGAGCCAAGACACAAGAAGTGATTGACAAAAACTCCTGGTTTTGCTGCTTCCCTGTGGCTGCAATGAGAGGAAGGTTGTCATGCACTTGATGGACCACAATACATCTTGGCTGGTCACAAATGGTTTTGTTTGGGTCAGCTGTGGACAAAGGAATCCTGAAACTGTTTACAGTCTATAATTATGCCATTTACAAGCACACTGATGATTATATAAAACTCCTTGTCAAGAAACTCTGAGACTGTTGTATTGACTAATGGCTTACCTGGAAGCTTGCTAAAACATGGCTGGATTGCAGAGCCTGCTCAGTCAATTGCATTCCAGGGATAGTTTTTGGCTTTCTATGAGTCTTGGATGCATGTGTAGACTCCTTCCTCTTAGTGGAGAGAAAGAATTGGAATGTACTGTGTATTTGAAACAAATAGAATCTTTCATTAGCTCTAGTTGCCTGAAAGACTTATATGGGTGTTTTGTGTATGGATGGTAAGGTAAAGGTAAAGGACCCCTGACAGTTAAGTCCAGTCGCGAACCACTCTGGGGTTGCCGCGCTCATCTCACTTTATTGGCCGAGGGAGCCGACATTTGTCCACAGACAGTTTTCCCAGGTCATGTGGCCAGCATGACTAAGCCGCTTCTGATGAAACCAGAGCAGCGCACGGAAATGCCGTTTACCTTCCTGCTGGAGTGGTACCTATTTATCTGCTTGCACTTTTGAACTACTAGGTTGGCAGGAACTGGGACCGAGCAACGGGAGCTCACCCCTTCGCGGGGATTCGAACCGCCGACCTTCCAATTGGCAAGCTCTAGGCTCAGTGGTTTAGACTACAGCGCCACCTGCGTCCCTGTATGGGTGGTAGTGCACTGCATATCTATTTTCTTTGCATTGTGGAATGAAGTTCCCATATGCTTTATACAGTACACGGGATCATTGAATAGAAACAGGAAGCTGACCAAATCTCCTAGAATGCAAGGCTTTCCATTTCTTTTGCAATTTTCCCATAGTGTAAGATGAAAAGCAAGATGGGTACCGG